TTTGGCACGCAAAAATGCATGCCAAGGCTTAAAGCAGCAACAACGCTACACATAAAAACTGATGATGGTGGAAAAATACACCGAAACGTATTTTGATTGATAAATAGAGACAATAAATGACTGAAACCCAGGAATGAATTTGATTTGGAATTGAAACACAGTCAGGAAAGTATATACAGTAAACTTATAGCCCTCTAATTTTCTCAAGTGGGCCATTCTCGTTCAATTTAATACATTTATGAACTTAACGCCGGAATATTAGAGTAGTTTGTCAAGGATTTAGTTTGGATTGTTCTTCTAGTTTATGAACTGTTAGAAAACTAACATATATTTGAGAACTTAGCCGCTAGAACGTTCTTTTATTTTCTAAGTTACTTCAGTTCTTTTGACTCTTTCTAGTTGTAAATCCGAAAAATGAGTCTCGCTCGCGCTCTCTGCATTACAAACCCAGTAGACAACCGACTGTAAACAGTGTATTTTTAGATGCGCTTTACCATTTTTAAATTGTTGTTTCCAGCCAATAAACAATGCCGACTTTATCGTCCCAGTTGAAATCGACGGTACCGTACATCAAGTGTACGTGCTGAAAAGGCCGCATGTGGATGAATTCCTGAAAAGAATGGGAGAACTGTACGAATGCGTTCTGTTCACTGCATCATTAGCCAAATATGCGGATCCGGTGGCCGATTTGCTCGACCAATGGGGAGTGTTCAGAGCGCGATTATTCCGAGAGAGTTGTGTCTACTATCGCGGCAACTACGTAAAGGACTTGAACAAATTAGGCAGAGACCTGCAACAGATTGTCATTGTGGACAATTCACCGGCCTCGTATATATTCCATCCAGATAATGCTGTGAGTATTGTGGATTTGGTGTCAAGAAACAGCCGGATTGAGTTTGTTGTTGTTTGCAGGTGCCAGTAGCTTCATGGTTTGACGATATGAACGACAATGAACTCTTAGATTTAATACCGTTCTTTGAAAAGTTAAGCAAGATGGACAATGTATATACAGTGTTGTGCAACTCTAATCGACCTTACAACAGTAGTCAACTGAACGGCCCCAATAACACTACAGCGGTGCAACAGAACAACCAAATTCCCCATCCCAACACGTAGCAGAACACTGCCAGCAAGTTGATCATATTGATTGGGAATATTTACAGGATTCGCGCCCTTCATCGTTGAAGAGTCCGCGTTTCTTTAACGAGCAAGTTATTTAAACTTGGAATGACTTTCTTTTTAACGAACGCTTTCCGAAATGACATTCATTGACCGTGTCGCCTTGAATATAGCAGAATAACTAAACAGTATATTTTTGCAGCAAATCATCCTAGGATAATGCGAGAGATTGTTCAACTGTTCAATGTATTGAAACATTGGGTATTGCAGGTTGATGCATTTTCGCCTGTATGCTTTACATTGGGAATCAATAAATCCAGATAATCCCCTAATCAACCGTTGCTCATTGGTATTTTTAAATGTGATGTTTAACACTAGGCTTGTTTTTACTGTCTCTTATGAGTTGCCCATTCAATATGTGTATACTGAGTGTTTATAACAACTTTCATTAGCTGTGTGTGTCCAGCTATGCGACTTTGGGACCATCAAGATCGACACAAACAAAACTCGTTCAGATACTGTGAGTGATTCTTTTACAAAATGCACACTGAAAATTCAACTTGTCTGTGCGAGCAAAGCTCAACACAGCTTTCGGACTTTTGCTTCCAACATGATTGATACATATTCACTAACTAGACTGAGTCCCCGCACAAAGTGTCTAAAAATCGGTACCAGATCCACAGTTGCAATTAGTAAACCTAGATGTAAATAAGTCCATTGCTGTATCGATGTATTAGCGTTCTTTTACACAAAGGAGAGAGAAAAAAAGATAACGTTGCTTGTGAAGCAGGCCTGTCGTGCTTTTTTTTAACCGGAATGTTTGTTGATTGGAATTTGACCCATTTTTCTAGTATACTAAGGGCTCGTTGTAGGGCTTGGGGCGAACTCACATAAATAATTCAAATGCCATTGTGAGAAACAATCATATCTCTTTAGGGGATTGTGCAGACGGTAGGAACGCAGGTTCCAAATATTTAACAGTGGCCTTAAACTAATATCTGAATATTTTTTTTGATCCTTTAATATTGCAATTTATACTGTAGACAATTGACTTGATAATAAAGGACGGATTGTCCTCATTGAAGCTGCGAAATCCACGTTTCGGTACGAAGTAGTGCCATACTATTTTGTTGAAAAGTAAAAAAAATGGAAATCTGTACTTATCCTAAATATGGCTTATATATTCTAAAGCTAAGAAACCCTCATTGGTTTATGTACATCACATTGTTTTCGATTCGTGTAGGTTTCGAGAACCTATTTTGTTCCGTAGTACAAATACATTATCATGTTTAGCGTCTTGAGTTGTATTGGCGTAAAGCAGCATTCTTTCAGCTTTATGTATTATTTTTATTGAATTATGTACAGTTTATTGTTTAGTAATATATTATAACATATGCTCTAATAATAAATTTAATATATTTCTCTTATGTATATTGTATTATCTTTAATTGTGTAATTGAGAACGAGTGAAATAATCGTATATTTTAACAAGCAATAATTTGGGCCCTTTTCTTACAAACCCCCATAGACATTGAACATTTCCGAAATAGTTTAGGTGCTGAGCCCAAACTATTCAGACACATTGGGGGGGGGGGCACTTGTAATATATTATAAAGCATATTTTAATATCATTAACATTATTTTTTATATATTTTTGTTGTAGAATAATATCCCTGTTTATGTTGATTCTAAAATGTATTAAAAATCGGTTATGTAAAATACTGAGTGTTTCCATGTCTCGTGGATAAGGAGCCTTTATTTGTAAATAAAATACATAATTTGTACCCAAACATACCTGTGTATGATTGATCAGCAACGGAAACCTAGGCGGAAAACGATTGAAGACTAATAACATCACATCAGTTAAAATACAACGATTTATTATTATATATGTATATATAGCTTGTATCAATTTATTTTCAGGTACAGTCTTGATAAAACACGACGAATCAATAAATGAATAAAAATAAACAAAATCTATCACATCAATTTCTAGAGAATAAAAACGGATTTGTCTTGGAGTATTTGCTGGTAGCATGCCTGAAACAATGATCAACCACAGTCAAAGCCGAAGATCGCCTAAAAACCACGCACCTTGAGGGTGGTAAACATAATTCCCAGTTCGCCATTTTCCAGGTTTCTATCCATGAAATGTTCCATAAACTCCAGCTCGGCCCCCAGATGTGGAATTCTGGCCCGAACCACCACATAGAGGAACAACGGGAATAAATCGTCCATGTTCCATACGTAGGCATCGCCTAAAAGCTCCTGAGCAACGGGAGTCATTTTTTTCACCGTACTGCGTATCACTGAGAGCTTCTCAATGGGCAGGAAGACCGTTATTATTTGCTGTAACGTTTCGATGGCTTCCACAAAAGCGCAACTTTTGTCCGATAAGTTTATGTACTGATCCAGGTGGAGAAATTTCCTAAAAGTCCTTAACTAGCTTGGATGGGCTTGAAGGAATTGCAGCTTACTTTTCGACGGAAAGTCCACTCATCAAGCTCCTGTCTGAAAGCTTGTTCCACTCGATCAGAACTTTTTTATACTGTTTCTCCTGACTTTCATTTTTCAGGCTCAGCAGGGTGCACAAGCAATTATAAACCTTTGGCAGGATTAGCGGGTACAACAGCGACTGGTAATTGATGATTTCGTAACTGCAAAGCAATGTCACACATTTTCCACATTTTCCATAGAACAGCAGACACTTACTCATCGTCAGTACGATTTAACACGTACTCGCTTTCGCAACTGGGCAAGGCTGGGAAAAGATACACTATTATGCCATAAACCCTTTGAGCAACGTCGATTACCTCCATAATCGCGTGGTTTACTAAGATAGGATGCACTTTGCCGCTGTACGAGGATATGTAGGCTTCGCATAGGTTGTTTAGTAGGGACCCTAAAGGGTGCAAAGGACTCTCGAAGGCCTAAAAAGTCTCCACTTAGCCCTGAGAGCTTCAAAATGTAATTAACCAACCCTGTTTAAGTATGCTCTGATTTCCATGTAGGATTCTATGGTGATTTTATCGCGCCCGAATGGAGGAATCACGTCGAGGTTGTTGAGCGAATTTTGCAGGCTACCGTCGTCGCCTTTGCGCCTCTTCAAAGTGGACGCGCTGGTTAAATAAACAGCAACATTTTGCCATATCCGGGGGGTTTCCACACTGGCAGCCCCGTCGTCCAGCCCAAGAACCTCCCGGCAGTGCTTGAAGAGGGCTTTCCATTTATTCGCCGGCGCCGTGCAGAGCTGCCCGAAGGACTTTGGGAGGGCCTGGTTTAAGTCTGCCGTTTTCCGAAGGGTGGCTGCGTTAATCTTAATTCCCTCCTCCAAACTCCCGATCAGATGCCCCTCAATCACGTGGCCAGAAGGGAGAGTAACTGCGCCTTTTCCTCCTAGGATGCCAGTGCCTTTAAACTCTCCATCATAGTGAGTGCCGTCGTCTAAAACCATCACGCCGTGGCCCTGAAAGTTTAGCTAGATATTTCCGGATTTGAGGTGGGAAACTGGCATTTTTACCGAGAGTACGTCGTTGTGGAAGTTCCCCTCATAATAAGTGCCTTCGGAAGTGACAATGAGACCGCTGCCCTCTTTGTGGTCCGACCAACATCCCAAGTACTTTTCGCCGGTGGAAATTTCGTCCATCACTCCATATCCGCATTTCCGGCCCGCGTCCCATTCGCCGATGTACAGGGAGGCCGAATTTGCCATGAAAGTGCCTTTGCGCAACAAACCGTGCCCGTGAAACTGGCCATCTTTAAAGTAGCCCTTGTAGATGTCTTTGCTACTGTAGGTGAATGTTCCATAGCCGTTCTGTTTATTGTCTTTCCAATCCCCTTCATAGGTGCCTGGAAAGTTATTAAACTTATTTATTGGTAAAAAACCAACGAAGCACTAAAAGCTGTTGAAAGCCCATTCAACTCACCAAAATTTGGAATATCCATTGAACCATATCCGCTCAAACTGTTATTGCTAAACTGGCCGGTATAAGAGCGACCATCGCTCCAAACCATCTTCCCCGAGCCGTGCATTTTCGCGTTCAACCAGCGCCCTGTATACTGGGCGTCTTTGAAAACCCCCGGCTTGGTGAACGTGTATTTTCCATTTCGAGCTAAGGGTGGCTGGAAGAGATCAGTTTTGTTGAGGGCGGCTTTGATGGCATGTTGCAGGGCGTGGTACCAGGTGTTCTTAGTGACGCCATCCGGAGCCACCAGAGTGAGGGTTTCTTCGGGCAATTTGAGGCAGATCAGGTGGAGGGACTCGTGATGCGGAATATCCAGCCAGATCATGTTGAGCGCGTGCAAATGCGGGGAAGAGCCGCTGATGTGGGCGAAAATATCCGAAAAAAGGACGAAGCGATGGGAGGAGAATCTGCTTGAGCTTTGTAGGTTTATTGGGTCGGATTGGCTGTCGCATATTAAGCGCCGTTTGGGCTCCATCATGTACTTGATGGTGCTGCCAGCGTTCATCCAGAAAATCCTGGTTTTTTCAGCTTCTTTCCCCTTGCAGTCCACATATTCCATGAAATCCTTCCACCTAGTTTGATAGTCTATATTGCAGAATTTTCGGAAAAAATCCATGTAGAAACCAACTCGCTTTGCTGGCGACGTTAACAGGACAGCAATGTCTTGGTCATTATTAGTCTTCTCTTTGAGAGTTCCCGTTCTTAAGCTGTATAGTTGCGGACTGACTGCTATTGTTGTCGCTATCGCCGCAAAGCCGCTGATGGCTGATACATTTTGAATACAGTCCACGTAGTTCTGATAGATCAACAAGAATTCCTTGTAGTTTTTCACAATGGTTACATCGTTGATGCCTATGAGACCGTTGCGGTATTGCAAAAGAGATTCAATATTTACTGCAAGAAAATGCAAAAAATCCCTGTAGTTCTTGCAAAGGAGGTCATAAAGCTCTCCGTCCTCTAGATCATTGGATTTCTTTATCAGCAGCCTTAGAATCTGCTGATGTACGCACAACATTTCCTCCAGCATGTTTTGCTCCTTTACCACAAAGTTGTTAAAACTCTCCTCGCACTTTGGCCCCACATTCAGCACTGAATATTCGCTGCTGCTCAGGAAGTTGCTGAACAACTCCACTGGCTTCTCACCAGAATCTTCGCTTTCCGACATAAATCGATGGTAGATCGTTTGGTAACTTTGCGAACTCCTCCCGAAGTATGTTACGTTGTTTTTGGTAGTTAAAATCACAGTAAAATAGTCGCCACACGTGGCATCGATCACTCTTTCATTCATATTGCAGACGAACAACTTTGGCACCGATTGATCGGCTTTGTTTTCCAAAGTCACTTGATGGTCGTTATTGCGGCCCCAGAGAAAAACTCGGCCATCGAGAGTTAGAGCACAGGCGTGGTAGTTTTGTAATGATATTTTCGATACTCCTGATTTCGAAAGGATTGATAGAATGACTGGAAGGTCCATCTTGGTGTCAACACCTAAAAATACTTTTTAAATACCTACATATGTTTCATGCAATTAAACATATAAAACAATTGAAGTACATAATTTTCAGACACTTTTTCCGCGGTCTTAAAATTGCATCCAAATATCTGGTAACTGAAATCGAAGTATAAAGAACTGACCAACAAAAAATAACGCTTTAGGAGAGAAAACTTACCAATACAACCATGTTTAACATTGCCCCACATCCATACTTCGCGATTGAGCAGATCCTTTCCCTGATTCACAATCACATCAACATTATCCTGAACCTCCAAGTCCTGCAAGTCGCGCTCCGAAGTGCTTTGACTGACTGACAGTAAGAAATCCTCCTTCGAGTTTTTCCTCTGCTGGCTGTTCTCTGATAGATTCGTGTGTTCCGAGCTGGAGCTTACATGGCGTGAAAGTGTCGCCACTTTATCCCCAACGGTTTTAACTCCTTCATAGACCAAAGTAGCCACATTCGTCATGTTTTCTTTGAAGATTCTTGTGGGTTTTTCAGTGCACTCCATCAAGTACTCTTCGCCAACGGATGACATTCGCGATATCTGCCGAGTGAGGAAGTCCTTGGCTGCTTCAGTGTTGCGGAAAATTATGTTCTTCTCAGTTTTATCATCGCCTTCCGACTTAACGCCTGAATTAGCTGAGGCCGCTTCGAGCTCTTCTGATGTAGTATTGTCTAAGTCGTCACTCTGAAGCCTCATTCCCAAAGGGCAAAGGTTGGTGGGCGAGCAATCAGAGGATTTCTGAGAGTTTGAGCTGCACAACTGGCAAGCCGGGGCAAATAACGTATCACAGAAGCTATTCTCAGTTTCCACTGTGGGCTTGCCGACTACCACAACAGCAAAATCAGCCCCCACTGAAATACCATGCACAATTCTTCCAGAGAAAAATGCCACTTTCCTAGGCACGTCACTAGTTATGCCGATTTGGGGCATGTCTCCACTGCCCCACAGCTGGTTGCTTTCGGACACGTAAAGAGCCCCAAATTTGCCAATCGCCAGGCTTTTAACCTTCACTTTGTATGTTAGGGTGCTGTGCCCCAGTGCGCACTGGTACTCTTCTAGAAGATTAATTTCCTTTAATACCTCCAGCTGCTCGTTGCACTTCAAGACGCTGCCATTGCCATCAATTACAAACAACGAATCATCATGGCTTTGAATATCCACTGCTTGCAACTGGTTGGGGAGCTCTCTAAAAGACACAAAGCTCTGCTCTTCGGTTTGCTCAAGGAAACCTTCATGAAGCACATTGCTGCTGGTTAGTAGGAACAGGTGGTTACCAATGTTGGCAATCTTTTTAATTGGCTCGCTGATAGTAGCCAGAACTTCCACATTTCTGTTGTGGATCCACAAATTGAAGCTATGATTCATCTTGGAGTGATCTTCACATTTTGCCTTTCAAGCTCACTAAGGCTAGTTGAGTGGTAGTCGAGAATGGGCTGAATGGAAAACTGGGCATTATTCGATAAGCTAATTGTTGCATTAAGAGAGAACTAAGGTTTTGTATTTCTGCCCATTATTTACTTATTTGAAATCTTCCTAGTTCGTATTGATTGACGTTTAAACGTCCAGCTGTTTTTTTTCCTTAGGTTAAGGCCTGATCGTCTAGGGTATTAGCAGCTTCTGTTTGTAAGCCTGGTGAATTTGAAATTTTATCTCGTCGGAAATTCTTCCCATCCATGTGCATAAAATGTTGCTGCCACAAAACTCCTATGAACCACAAAGTATCCCCCCTAGGGGGATGTTCTGTGCTCTGAATTACCATAATGGCTGCTGCGTCTTTGGGGGGGTGGGTAAGTGGGGATGTATCTTCAAGTCATGGGTGCTAGAAGAATTTGCCACAGATTTGATCTTAAAACAGTTCAGCAGCAACTAATCAGTTGATTGATTGTATTTTCGTGAATATTAATAATTTGGAGGCTCTATTATCCGTATGATTAGATAAAAATTAGTTTTATTGGGGATTTTAATTTTACACTGTTGGTAGCATTGGAGCCTGTAGTAAGACGCATACCCGGAAGCGCTCTTGGCGATTAATTAGAATTGGTCGCCATTAGAGAAATTTCTTCAGAAATAGAAGAGCGATTGTTTCGTCTATTTAACTATATATTCAACTAAGTAAGTGTAAAATTGTGCAATTTCCAGCGCGTAGTTGAGAACAAGTGGAATTTCCATTAGACATTGGCAGAGACGTGAATACTTTGGTGATTTAACAGGCTGTTGACTTTCAGGAACATGGCAGACGAACTGGACGTTGAGGCAATGCTGGAAGCGCCTTACAAGAAAACGGTACGTAAAATCAGCCCTTTCCTTTACCTGCTGTTCCCCCCATTAAACAAGTGGCGACGTATTTACGCTCCTAATGCCTTAGGCACGATTGCTTATTGATCGGTACATCTACATCGCCATTTGCATTCTGTTTCTATTGAATTGTATCAATGTTTGGCTACACTCTTCATCAAAACCTCATTTTATATTTTAGACTTGTGAGGTATTCGTTATATGTGGGCTATCGGCTCCTTCCCATAAACCAGGTACAGAATTAACTAGTTCTTAAGTGTAATGTTTAAGATAGGCCAAAAGTAATTTTGTGCATTTTTTTTGATTATTTTGCAACTGTGATCTGAACAATTTCCTCGCTGATGGGTACTTTCTCGTCATAGGGTAACAAGCTGAGATTGGACATCACCATTGCATCCTATCTGGCACAAATTCCGTTCAGCTGATTGATCTTATCCATGGCGGACTTCCCAGTGTAAATAATAATAATATCAACTATTAACCAACAGTTTTTGTCAGTTAGAGAGTAGCACTAGGGATTCTTTATGGTTTAATAGCAAAAAAGTTCCACTAAACAACCAAAGGAATTGACTGAAAAGACATTTTCTACCCACAAAACATTCTTATTTCTTTGAGGACCCTGACACCGTTGTTGTTTGTTTGGATGTGGATTTCCACAAAATGAAACTCCAATGTGAAAATCAAGCAAATACAATAAAATAACTGAATCGTTATGGTCGGTCAATTAATTCATAGAGATGAATTGACCAAGTAGAGACTGGTGGTAATACAAGATCAGATTGTTCTGCTATTGCTCGTTCTTCAGATCTAATTCAATATGGAAATAATAACAATTGAGTGTAACATTCCTAAATGTGATTTAACCGGCCGTGAAAGCCTTCATAGTCTGATAATTGAGTGTAATTTTTGGGATTGGGATCACTAACTAATTGAAATCGATATCTGCACTGTCGACGTTTTGCCTATTTATGTAAGCTTCTTTCGGAATCGCTTTTTTTCTAGACAAATTCAAGTGTCGTTTATGCTCAGTTGTTGAGATTATCCTGCAATAGTCCTAGCTTATGGCCTCTCGTGTTCTGTGTCCTTTATTTCCTCACATAAAGGGTGACTTAGTCTTGAATTTTATTTCTTCCAACTGCTGAAACTAAACGATTTCTGAATTATCTTCCAATCTTGTTTCATTGCCGAGCAAAACCATTTGGCCGTTTCGTAACTCTTACTCCGAACGGTTATCCAACAAGGAAAGTTGTTGCTCACTCAGCTCTTTGATTTGCAGCTGTTCTTCCCCTGGGTCTCTTTTGGATTATTGAAGAAATCAAAACGTTTCTAAAGCGTAAGAATAAAGCTCTGAGAGCCGCGACAATCTACCCGACAGGAACTGTTTTGCTATTAAATTATACAGCAAGTCCAGCGTCTCTTCTGACGAAACTCTAAACATGTATTTTGGGGTTTGGCATAATTTCTTTTTCAGGTAAACCATCAGCATTGAATGTCGGTGATTAGTAAAAGGTAAACTTTGAATTTGTGAATTTGAGGACGAACTGTTTTTGATTCTGTTCTGATTTCTCGGTCATTGACCATTTTTTTAGAGCCCGTTCAGTCGTAGTCAATGTTCTGAATGATGGCTGAACAAACAAACTTAGAGAGTCACTAAATTGTTTAAATGTTTATGTTAGATTGCCAAACCCTGAAGCCTTTGAAAACCTTGGTCTTTTGAGGATAAGTGGTCTTATTCGGTCTATTTTTTCAGAATATTTCTGGATCAAGTATTGCAACAACGTACTTAGTAGTGCGAACAAGATGGTAAGTCTAGTCACGGCTAGACGCCCCGCAGCAATTTGAGCCGAACCTAAGGATTATTTGGATTTTATTTTGCAAATTGAACGTTTTTATCAATATTTAACTATAGTTACCACTAAAGTCATATTGCAGCAATAAAAGCGTTCACTTTCAACTTAGCAAAAGTTATAACAAAATCATCTTTGTCTGAGTATTTTATTAATGCCTTTTGTTTTTCCCCACCATTCTGCGCGGTCTCTTCCTTGCTGTTCATAGGATGAAGTCAATGGAAAAGCCAAAGAAAACGGCGAATCGAAGGATCGTCGCAATTCGGAGTAAGTGAACGAATGTGGTCATCCAACTGTTCCTAACAAAGTGTTTTGTTGCAGCAAACGACGGTCGCACACTCCCAACCGCAGCCGTAGCCGAAACAAGAGAAGCCGAAGCCGCTCAAAGGACAAGAAGAGAGTGAGTCGGGACAACAAGAAGAGGAGTAGGAGCAAGGATCGCAGGAAGTCCCGAGACCGTCGCAGGACATCGAAGGACAGAGTCAACAAGTCAAAGGACAGACGATCGCGGTCTAGAGATCGTAAGTCTAAGTCCAAAGAGCGCAGACGGTCCAGGTCTAAGAACAGGAGAAGCGTATCGAGGGACAAGCGCGATAGGTATGACAACTATGGACTTGTTGCATATTTTTTAACAGTTTATTTCATTAATAAATTTGAGGCGCCATACTTGAACAATAAGGGGTTTATTTGCAGAACTCGCGGAAACGCAGGAAGGAGAAGCCGCGATAAGGCAAGGAGCCGAAGCAGAGACAAGCGAACTCGTAGCAAAGACAAAGTCGTTCGAGACAGGAGAAGTCGTAGCAGAGATCGCAAACGTAGTCCGTCCCCCATAAAGCCGCCATTCCGAAAGACGGCGCCCCGTTCACCGTTGGGTTTGCGTGGACAATCGCCCCTGGAAGAACTGAGTTCGGAGGAACGAGACGCCAGAACCGTTTTCTGCATGCAATTATCGCAACGCATCCGTGCACGTGATTTGGAAGAGTTTTTCAGTGCCGTTGGCAAAGTTCGCGATGTCCGCATGATAGTATGCAACAAAACACGACGCTTTAAAGGCATTGCGTATATTGAGTTTAAGGACCCAGAGAGTGTCGCCTTGGTAAGTGTATATAATATACTCGTTTGGACTGTGTGGCAGTTTAAAGTAGGGCTCGGAATCAAACTCGAATAGTTCGAGTATTCGAATATTCAAAAAGCGAATAATTATCTGTAGTCAACTCGAATACACCTACATTATCAAACTCACAAGGTGCATCTTTATATGCACTTATATAATAATCATATTTACTCTCCTGCAAATGAATAGATATTCGAGTATTCGAATAATTTTACTATTCGAGTAAACCACCAAACGAATATTCGAATTTCAGATTTAAAAAAATTCCGAGCCCTAGTTTAAAGTAAACGCACAGCGATATCACGGAATGTATGCGCGTTAGTTCACTAGAAATGAGGCAAATGTTAATTTTGATTTGTTCCGTTGTGCGTTTATCTTTTCGCGACTGATTGACGTTATTCTTTTGCGAGAAAAACCCTTAAACATGATTGTTTTTCTTGAATTATTTAGGCCTTGGGATTGTCTGGCCAGAAGCTGATGGGTGTGCCCATCATAGTGCAACACACTCAAGCCGAGAAGAATCGATTGGGAAACGCGATGCCCAACCTTATGCCGAAAGGCATGATTGGACCGATGCGACTTTATGTTGGATCATTGCATTTTAATATAACCGAGGAAATGCTGCGTGGAATATTTGAACCATTTGGAAAGATTGAGAATATTCAACTCATTATGGACCCCGAAACAGGTCGATCCAAAGGATATGGGTTTATAACCGTAAGTGTTTTAAGACTAAAAATTCGCCGGTTTCACCGCAACAAACTATGCATTTTCAGTTTCACAACTGTGACGATGCAAAGAAGGCATTGGAGCAGCTGAACGGTTTCGAGCTGGCCGGCAGACCAATGAAAGTAGGAAATGTTACCGAACGCATCGATCTTCAGAGCCAGGGTCCGTCTCTTCTAGATTCAGACGAACTTGATCGATCTGGCATCGATTTGGGAGCAACTGGACGTTTGCAACTGATGTTCAAATTGGCTGAAACTGCCGGGATGCAAGTTCCAGCTGCTGCAGCCAATGCGCTGAGCATGGCTACTGGACAGCCCGTTGTGCAACAAGTTCAATCGAATTCTACACCCCCGATCGCCACTCAGTGCTTCATGCTGAGCAACATGTTTGATCCGGCAACGTAAGAAAACGTTTTTGTGGCCTGATTTGTATTTTATTTAATTTGTTTTCCAGTGAAACCAATCCAACGTGGGATATAGAAATTCGCGACGATGTCATTGAAGAATGCAACAAGCATGGCGGAGTGTTGCATGTGTACGTCGACAAAGGTTCACCCCAAGGAAATGTTTATGTGAAGTGTCCTTCTATTGCAACAGCAGTGGCATCCGTTAATTCGCTGCATGGGCGATGGTTTGCTGGTCGGGTAATCACTGCCGCGTATGTACCCCTTCTTAATTACCATTCACTGTTTCCGGACGCGATGACCGCCGCTCAACTGTTGCTACCGTCGGCTAGGAAGTGAGTTTCCGATCACCTGTATATAGTTTCTACACAGTATTGCATCAATATCGTGTAATCGCTGTAGATATTGTGGTGTTTTTAAGCAAATCACTTAGAATTAATTACGTACCATAGTCATTGTCTTAAAACCACTTATATGTATATTTTTGCCCATCTGAATAAATGATATGTTGGTTAACACTACTGCGTTTTCGTGCAACGTTGAGGGAAGCAGAGTGAAACAAAAGCCAGTAATTTCAGTAATTATTTAATTGTAGCTATCCAACATATGCCCACTGTTCGGATCAATGACAAATAGTTTTTTTGATATGGCTCCTTTGCAAGAGCATCAGTCTAAAATATTTAGGCACAGTATACATCCAGACGTGATACAAACAAGCTATGTTCTAAATGAGACAATCAATGTTAAAATTAAACTAACAAACTGTTGGGCCCCAACTAGCATGGTATGGAATTTTATTAATGAAATAATAATAATAAGCACTGTTACATGTGTGGAACTGCAATTGTTTTAGGCCGTGGCATTAAACTAGTAACAACCTATTACTATCTGCACATGAATAAGTTAAAATGGATTAGCTTGCACATTCCGAACATAGCCAGTTTGGTTTAACATCCATATTACATTAAACTTTCTAAACAATCAACAATATAAAAATGTGCATAAGTTATTTACTTACAAAGATAGAAAAATGTTAAATTATTTGAAAATAACTCCACAAAACATCTTTACTACTTATGTTCGCTCGAAAACGAAGCCAATTTGTTAAAAGTTCGTTCACGTTCACAGTTCGATTAAGGTGTTCGCGATGTTTCCTGTTTATTTCACAGTTTTGTCGTAAGTTCTCTGACATGCCATGATATATTAACCGCGGGATAAAAAATGTCCAGAAAATTAACAGTTTATTCAAATTGAACTAGAAGTGTTGTCCTTTAATTTATATTACAACAATTTTCGTCAGGAAGTCCGATCACTTCAGCGAAACACAAACACTGCACTTTCTTGTAGATTCCACCGTCACAGTTCTTACGTCCGATCCGAAAAGTGAGCCGCCTAAGTTTGTTAAGTTTTAACTACTTTAATATAGAATCCATATACCATTTTGCAATTAACTTATTCTTGATTATATCCCATAGATCGTTTGCCAAAGCAAACATCCGAGCGGAGCCAGTCAATGGAAAATAACGTGGACTAAAAAAAATTATAACTCGCAGCTCGGTTCAATTAAATTATTGAACGAAAAAATAGCGATCAGTAGTTAGTGGTAAAATATAGTAGTTCAAGAGCATGTAACTGCGAGAAGCCGGTAAACGAAATAGTAACACTAAGATTATCAGCGACGATAACCGAGGATGGATGGGGGTTGCTTCTAGTTCCTGCCGCCGCCTCGTCCACCTCGACTCCTATTGTCCCGATCCTGCAACAATCCAAGAGTGTTTTTCAACCTCATTAGCAATCAGGCTCTGATAAGGCTTACCCTATGATGACCACCTCCTCCACCTCCTCCTCCTCCATGGTGTCCGTCGCGATCGCTCCGTTCTCCTCTGTGGCCTCCGCCTCGATGACCGTCATTCCGATCCCGGTCTCCGTCCCTGTCTCGGTCATGGTTTCGGCCACCTCGATGGTGGTCGCCTCTGCCACGCCCTTCGCCACCACCCTCATGGTGCCCCATCTCTTTTACCGGCTGCTTGCGATTGTCCTCCTCTTCTTGTCGCTTCTCGTAATGGATGAAATCATCAAAGATGGAAGTCGAATGCGGATAGGAGTGCATAATTCGCAACACCTGCACAAACAAGCTCGCTTAGACTCGCACTACATGATGCAGCAGACCGCGCTTCACCTGCAGCCCTCTAGCATGTGGCACCTCTTGAGCATCCCGCGAATTCGTCACTGATTTGTTCTCGTTGTTTTCCAAGTGAATGTGCCGCAATTGTACATTCGGCACATCTTTCACATAAATCCAGCGTACCTATGATAGTCGAATTACATTGACATAGGCAGGGTGTTTGTAAGCACTTTTTTAAATACATTTTTTTTATTCGACCCTTTCCTGCAGAACCAATCGATCTTGAAAATTTCACTAAAATTGGCCTCAGAACTGTAGTTCTTGGCGTTAACTGTGAGCGTTAAAGTGTGTTTCTTGGTGCTAAAACCTGCAGTCAAGTTATGACGAAAATAGAAGAAGAAAATGAGGATCTCAAGATCTAAGCGATGGCGGTGACAATAGCGCCCCATACACGAGCGAAATATCTATCATATCTGAACGTGGAGCCAAATTTGAAGAAATATCGGTGCGTTAATGGTTAACCACGAGCCAGATACGACTCGATGCGAATTTCGTACAAAATAAATCTGTAGATCTGGACTTGCGGACCAAATTTGGCCGTTAGTGGGTACGGGCGATAGTGTATGTTATAATTCAAGCAATGGGCAAGAGGTGATGATGGGAAATTTGGCTATAGAAATCTTGGAAGATGATGAGATAGTAGCTAATGTCACAGGAGAAAATCACCACTTCGATTACGAAGACGAAGCTTTTCAGAAAATACCCAGTAAATAGGCGGTCGATTAATTTAATTTGTGCCTACGTAGGGCCGAAGAAAATGAATTGCCA